GCRAAATCCACTTTTTTTAGCTGTTAAATGCATTTTGTTGTGTAGTAAAGTTTCTGCGCCGCTAATAATCATATCTCTTCAAACCAAATCAAACTAAAAACATAGCCGAATGGGGTGGAGTAGACAATGATCACTGGAAGTCCCATTGCAGTCACCCTTTAAATAGACCACAACTGAATGATTTAAATGTGAAAAGGAAAKATTTAAAAGCATATGTCCACAGTACAGTTAACAGTTTTTGCTTATCAAATATTGTGCAATTTAGTCTTTGTGTTCCACAGAGTTAAGCTTATGGTAAAACAATGTCTGATAGAAACTGTGACACAATCTTAGCTGAAAATGGGCATCTAGTTTTGCCATTGTCTCCTAAAGTGATTACATTCTACTGACCCAGTTTCCTGTCTCTGTGAGCAAGTGTTTGTCTTTATGTGGATGAAGTTTGAACAAGACAGAACAGGTACCACAGTGWACACTTGTGTGCACTACACTAGTGCAGCACATACACTGCATATCAACATATCCATCCATTATCTTTWYCTGCTACTTCCTTTCAGGGTCACGGGGTCCACTGGTGCCCATATCCAGCAGCTACTGTGCGAGGGGTGGGTACAWAYCATRTAAAACRGTAAYGCTTTCTTTTRCGGTACCCTTATTACCATGYAATTACAAGGTAATGAAAAAATGTAATYAAATGTRATTATTACCTTATTACCTTGTAATTACGTGGTAATTAGGGTACAATTTTACTATGTAATTAATTGTCTGCAGTAATGTAGCACTTACCTGGTAATGTATTACAATTCACTATGTAACACCTAAATAAGTAGTAGGTAATTTGGAGAGTTTTAAAGTTATATTTTATTGCAATTAACCACTAACCCCAAAATTTAGTTGCATTCTTTAGGTTATAAATATAGTGTTGAGTTACTATTGAGTAGTAATTTGATTGTAGTTACCCAATAAAGGTAGTTTTACTAACAGTAGTTTTTCTTTTGTACACTAATTACCACGTTATTACATGGTAGAAAGGTAGTAATTACCATTTAATTGCATTTTTTATTMCCTTGTAATTACATAGTAATAAGGGTACCGTAAAAGAAAGCGTTACCTATAAAACTATATTAAAATAATGCATTTGATAAACCAACTTCAGGACCCTCCGAGTCAAGAACAAACCAGATCACCAGGTACAAACAGAACACACAAACGCCACACAGGAAACCCGTTCTCAGGTTTCAGATCACACAGACTTGCTTGCCGTGAAGCAACAGAGATAGTCACAGACCCATTGTGAGAGTCTTTCTTTCTTTTTGTAGGGGTCTTTTAGTGTCAGTCCAGCCCTGATCTGGCTTTGTGTGGAACTCTGAGGGAGCTGTCGACACATTCTGACTGATGGGAAAAATCTCATTACAGATTAGACGGCATAGTTCATCTCTACGTGCAGCGATAATGTCCAAGCCAAGGTGGGGGAAAAGACTGTTCTYATATGTACAGCTCCATTGTACCATTTCTTTTAGATCTTGTACTTTTTTAAGTCTCACTGCTAACGCTGATTGGTAGTTGTGTGTTTAAAATCAGCTGCTTTAGAACAATTCCAACTTTTCCGATGTAAGACGGATACACACCTTCCCAGGCGGCGTTGATTTCTCTCATTGACGTGCCCTTCTGGGACGATCGGTCACATTCGCCAGACCCTACGTAAGCACACCAACAAAATGCTGACAGGGGTCTCCATGGAAACGTCACGCAGACGCTCCAGCTCCCCCCTATTCTGACCCGTCACRGATAAATGTCTCATAGCAGCAGATTCCATTTATAGCAAGTTCACGATTGAGGATGGCACTGCTGTGACAACCGGAATCGAGAAACAATCCCTGACAACGTGTGGACTTTCTGAGCCGTGAGTCGGGTCATGAACAGAACGAGGAGAACCGAGCAGGGCGACAGCACAGGAGGGAGATTAAAGAAAACTGACAGAATAATAAAACTACTGCTTTAGTTCAGGTTCTATTTTGCATGCATATTTTTCAGCTACGCAAACATTACACTCGAAGGTCACACGTGGCGTAAAATGATTACAATCTTCTAACCCTGGCCACATCCCAGTTAAACGCTGGATTAAACTTTAAAGTAAGCTAGCAGCAGCAGCAAGAAYGCCAAAAAGACTTTTGTTTTATCGCTTCTTCAGAGACAAAACTGTAAATRTGTCAAATATTTTACACTCTTCCACCAGACAGATGGCTATAGAGTAAAGTGTCCCATCAATTTATACATATTCATTCTGATAATAAAAAAAAAGATAAAATGGACCATAATTATCTCATTATTATCAAGAGTTCTGAGTTATTGTAACAATTTAAAGTACCTAAGGAAGTAGGAGGACAGGGTGTTAGTCCTCCTCAGAGCCAAAAGTATTTAAAGCAAGTTTGGCAGTAAGCCCGCTTTTCAGTAAATCCCCTTCATGTCTGACTGTGTAAAACTGATGATGTGCAAGGACACGGCTACATGCTGTTTATCAAACACCATCGTAAAGTTATTTCAAGTAAAAATAAATAAATAAATAAAAATAAAAAAGTAAACTAACTTGACTTGAGCTGAGAGAACGCCCTCTTTCATCACCCCGTTCCGACACGTGGGCCTCAAACTGTGGGAGGGTAGATAACATTTAGATTTCCATCGGTGAAACACAATGTGTCTCCACAGACGGGGGACGACAGTGACGCCTGTCTGTCAGCCGGTGGTGAAATGAATGATTCCTGGCCACACCGCTGCTCCTCTGCCTCCAGCTCGATGATTTCTGCACAGCTAAATGTCACATCAATATTCACAGGCTGCTAATTAATCTCCGCTCCCGTGGAACCGGCTGACATCTCATATCCTGTTGGAATACAGATGGCACTGGAGCTGGACTCTGGCTCAGAAGGCAAGCTGAGGACACTCACGGGGTATAGGGTTCAAATTTCGTGCAGCCACCTTTGTAACTCTTTATTCTCCACTGTTGTTTTTGCAAACACAGAAATGGCTATAGCAGTAGCATTTTAAAGTAGATATCAGTGGTGGGCACCAGCCCGCTAAAGTGCAAATCCACTAATTGCGGACCTAAATATTTTGTTTGCGCTTTAGCGGTCTTACGAATTTTTATATTTCATAAGCAGATTTGCACTTTCTAAAATTAAACTGCAGTACCGCTAATAACTAATTATCTACCAGTCATCATTATCTTGAACAGCGGAAGGTATGGTTGTCAATGAATCACAACACACGTGATCTATCCAACAGCACCCCTCCCAGATAAACACACATATTGGAAAGGTATACTGTGCATCCTTGCTGACTGTTGCTTTCGGTCAGGGTTCTGATTTCCCACAATGCTTTGTGTCTGCTTATGTAGCAGGAAAGCAATAGCAAAAACAGTAAACGTTTGTAATAATTCAAAAATTTTGTATGTATTGATTTATTGTACTCCACAATCGGAGCTCCTTTTTTTAAAAAAATAAAGTTTAAACGCTGGAGCTCAATACTTGACGTAATTGGTCGAAGCAACGTGTTTGAGACTCAGAATGATTTAAAAATGTTMTGCTGATGAAGACTGACATCTAGTGGTCAACTGGAGCAACTGTGCTTTTGTTTCCCGTCACAAGTCAAATCCGTCATGTACCCAGAATGCATCGCTTCAGTTTTCCAATAAACACTTTTAAAATTACTTTATTGATGCTGCTTTAATGAAAAATCTACAACAAACAAAGGAAAAAGACAAAGAAGCAGCCGAAATAGCAATCCTCAACAACTTTTTAAAGAAGCAGCCGAACTAGCAATCCTCAACAACTTTTTAATTTTTTCACCAGGAACCAAAGTTCTGTTTCAGGGAATCACATCCCCAGCAATCGGTGGTTGTAGGATTAAGTTGTAACAGAGTTCATACACCGCTAGTTGGCAGTGTTGTACATATACTGTATTGCCAGCTTGTAAGTGTSAAATTGAACTTGCGCTTTAAAATTAGCTTCTGCTAGTTTTTCTATGGCATAAGCGGTTTTGAAATTGYGGAACTAAATATTTTCACAAGCGCTTTAGAAATTGCGGAGCTAATTTTTGAATTAGSGCTGCCCATCACTGGTAGATATATTGTACTTTAAAGTGCCTGTGACATCAATGTTTTGTAATAAAAATGAATACATTTTTTCAAAGATAACACTGACAACATATTGCAAAAAAAATTCCATGCCGCTGAGCTGTTGAKATATTCAGATGTGAAGCAACAGGAAGTGATGTCAAAGGGAAATGTCTGCATGTAAACAGAGAGTTGCTGTTGATGTTTCTTTAGATTATTTTGAGCGAAATTGGTTAGGAGGAAGTCTATGTGTATGCCAAAAAACGTAAACAGAAAAAATGAGGTCTCGTATTCTGAGCTGTGTGTAGGAGAGTCAGTGACRAGTGTAGTGGGACGAGGTGAATATGTTTCCGAACAGTCAACTTGCTTCTTCTTACTTACTGCTACWATATAGTTGAGCTCCAACAAAAAGGGTAATGTTAAAGTCTGGTCAGGATATAGAAGAATTGATTCACATGCCTGATCTGTCATTGCTGCCARGCTACATATGAAAATGAGTCCATTAAACACAATACTGAGTCATGAGTCACTCTCTACCTGAAKGTTGAAATAGATTATCAGGTCTGGTATAATGGGAGTTTGGACTTTCCTGAGATATTGTTCTATAAATGCTTTCAAAAAAGGTATACTTGACAAAAAGTGTTTTACCATTCAAGTCATGACATTTACACAGTCATAACTATTTAAGCTCCTGGAGACTCGTGTTTCTCTTGTAGTAAAAGCTTGTTGCTAAGCAATGCTAACCAGAGTCAGCAGTCAAAGACCTGCAAACATGCTTTTAGAGAATTTGCTGTGGAAAAATAATTCATATACAAATGTGTGTATTTTAAGTGGAGTGACCTCGCGTGTGGGTGCGATATTACATGAGCCTGCAGCCCAGCTGAGCGCCTACCTGTCCCACATAAACCAGCAGTCTGGCGTTGAGAGGACTCTCATCGGGGCTCAACCAGAACTCAGAGTTATCATCAGATGATACGGAGAACTGGAAATCACCTAGAGGGGAGAACATGATCAAAGTTTGTGTTGGTGGAATCACACATTTATGATCCTATCCTATGACAGTTTGAACATGTTTACAATCGATCCATCGATCGATCGATCCATCCATCCATCCATCCATCCATCCATCCATCCATCCATCCATCCTCTTTACCCACTTTTTCCGTTCTGGGTCACAGGGGAGCAATAGCTTTTTTCTAGTGATCATTGAGAGGAAGGTACACCTGCAGGGTGCAGGTCCATCACAAGGCCACATAGATACAAATGAGACAATCATTCCTTCACACTCTTACTCATATCTAAGGACAGTTTTGAGTTAATAATAAAAGGTAAATTCTTATTGCATAAAAAAGGGAACCTTAGTTAGATGTTAAAAATGCACACAAAATTAAGTAACTAACACAATTACGTCACATTCACTTATAAAGTAAATGAAAATGTTGCTTTAGATTTACTCATTTCAGTTGAGTAGAACCTGTTGACATAATTCATTTAAGTAAATCCAACACAAAAGCTTTGATTTTTTTTGTATGCCCAGACTGTCTCAGCAGTGAAATATTATAGATATGAAACATTTTACTGGAACTTACAGTCATACTAGTTGTCGAAATATTTAATTTTTCATAATACAGCCATGCTGAACATTTATATTAAAAATAATATTTATAAAAGTCCATTGAGCCAACATTGTTCAGATGTTCTTGCACTTAAAATCAATCCCTGCCCCTAATTTAGGATTATACTGCAGTACAGGTACAAAAGAGGCCCTGTTGACATCTGATTTTATACAGAAAAATGAACAAAACAGATAAATGACTTTATTATCCAAGCAGCTTTGCAATAGAATTACAGAGTACTTGAAAGACAAACAGTATATTTGACCCTCAGAGTAATTCGTACCTGTTGGAATCCTGTTTTCCATGTACTTGTGTGTGGCTGAATAAAGGTGAAGGGCACTTGTTAGCGCTCACACTGAGCCACTGAGGCTGGCGTGACCTTTCCACCATCAGCTCCAACGAGCCTCGTCACTAGTGAAAGCTATGTGAGAGTCTAAAATGAATGGTAATCTAATTATTAGCTTCAATTCTGCAATTTGTGTAAGGGCACTTAAACATTAAGGCTTTTTCAGTTCCCATAGCAACTGGGTTTCAGGGCAGGGCCGTGAGGGGACAGAAATTAGATTTAGCTGTGAGATTCTGGCACCGAGCCTCAATAATAAAAAAAAAAGAAAAAGAAAAAGAACGAAAAAAAAAAGGAAAGTGAAAATCCACTACATTAATGGCTCAAAGGCGCTTGGATTAGGAGAGCTGTGGAGAGTGTTCGTTCCGATAAAGGACACATGCTTCAAGGTCCTCAGCCTCGAATCAGGGACTGACGAATGAAATGAACTAGTTACCGTCTCTGTAAGAATGAAGGTAACCAAATATTCTCAGGCCATAGTTCTTCCACTTTGGAGCCACCGCGAGCTTCTTCACTGTTGTTCTTGTCTGCAAAAATAAAAAATAAAAATAAAAAGGAAGTMAACAAATAAAAGGCACTTCATCCCACATCCTTCAATGTGAAAAGCCTGAAGTAGAAGCCATGCTTTATCATTAATTATTGAAACGTTTTATGCCTGAAAAACAGAAAAGAAGCCAAAAAAAAAACCCCCCCACTGTGAAGAGAACTGCAACTAGTACATAAATAATCTACCAGTACTTAATGTAATAAACAAATATGTCTCCTTCTATTTATTGGTTTATTTGTTAATGTCRGAATTAGACATTTAGAAATTTTTAGCTGTGTTCGTTAGAAATCAGAGCAGAAAATGGCTAATTTATTAAATCTGTTTGTTTGTTTTTGGCCTTATAACTGAATGGTTTATGATTTCTATATATTACAATCTACTGGGTTCTAAAATAGAAGGGAAAAACTGAGTGATTTAMCCATAAAACCAGATTAATGCTTAAACTACAGGTTCTTGAGGCCTATAAACGCAGAACCAAGCACACGTTTTTCTCTCAAAAAGCTTCATTTTCAATAAAACCAAATAAACATGCCCAGACAAGGCTTTAAAAGATAAGAATTAGGTCTGAGCAGTTGCTCTGCTGAATATGACATCATTCCTTTAAAATTTGACAAAATATCTWTGTCAACTTCCTTTGAAAATTGCTGCTGTTGTACTGAAAAAGGTTGGAAGCCCATATTTACAYATACACCTGCTATCAAATTGGCCAATAAGAATAATTTTAAAAAGTGGTTAAAATTGGTCCAATTATTCAACTGATTCATTCAACAACTTCTTGTCAGAATGTGACTGACTGCCAATGAAAAGAACATGAATAACTGGGACGTCTGTGTTAAAATCTAGAGTTGTTTTTTTTTAAACTATTTGATACCAAATCTGAGCTTTATTAACTGCAAATTGTAAATACTTACGTGAGGATAGAGGGGGAAGTGCAGGTTTTTTCTGAGCTGGGCTATAGAGGAACCGCACCAGTCCTCAAACACATGAAGGTTGGCCTGGCCCTTATACTGCCAACACACAGAGAGGACACACATTAGCGCACCCAGAACACATCACATCTGCTAAAACACAGGAGAYTATCCACAGCTAAGATGTGATTGTGCCTAATTGTTCGCACATGTGCAGTTTTATGCAGGCAGAGAGAGAGAGAGAGAGAAGAAAGTTAAACATATCATGAAGTTTTACATTTGTCATTGTCCTGACTAACAGATGCAGGTAACAAGAGGGCTCAGCTGGACTATCAAGTGGGGTGTGTGTGTGTGTGGGGGGGGGGGGGGGTGAACTGAGAATGTCTGGAACAGTTTGTCAAAGACCTTCCTTTACCCACAGTCTGACATTTGTCTGAATTACACAGGGAAATCATGGGACACGGCAAGGACAGATGGTGAAGTCATTCTGCTTTGGGGTACAGTTTTCTCTAGTGTACACACACACACACACCTTCCCACCCACACACACAGGTCTGCTCATCTACAAGAGATTACCGTTTCAAGCAACAATATTTGATTCCTTTGGAAGTAATTTTGAAATGTAGAGAAAAAAATGTAACCCTATTTGTGATAAATTTCCATTTTCCCTCTAACCTCATCACCCTTAAAGAGGCATAACGTCAAGCCTTAAGAGGTCATCAAAGTGTTCAGCAACCTGTAAACTCCGGCTCTTCGTAGTGGTACGGCATTCAAACAGTGCCAGCACGCGCCTGCACTGTGTCCGCACATATGATGTCCTTTATTGCGCGACAACAATCACAGCAGGTTGCCACTGTTATGCTGCCACAGACATTTAGAAACATCACACACAGCTTGAACAGAAAACTGGCTCCCTCTGAAATTACCATGGACAGACACGGCGGATCAAAGCGAAAGCTGGCTCCACCGCTTTGGCCGCTTTTCAATCACCGGGCGTAGTTTTTCTGTGTGTGGCGGAGCTGCTAGCTATGGAGTCGAGTGTCAGCTGTCAAATCAGTCACTCAGGAGAGTTTGTGTGACCTCCTGACACGCAAAAAGAGAGAAAAAAAGGGACATTTCATTGAAAGGGACTGAAATGTGGAAGCATTTCAGGGAACGCACCTCTCTACCTGCCATGCTGCATTCGTGTCTACATTTTCAGGAGAAAGACACAGACAGAGGGTGTCACGCTCCTTAAGTGTCACGCATGCGTCCCAGCAGATGGCCTCACGCAAAGTGGTCCTCCCCGTTTCCTTCTGGACGGCCAAAAAGGTACCGTGCACACTGACAGCAGAGGAGCAATTACTGCACATGAATTAGGCATGAGACACTTTTGTTTCGAAAACATGTCATTTGAAAGCAGTGGGGTTCCTGGATCCCTTTCCCACATTATATATATATA